AGGCGGTTGGAGCCGGAGGAAGGGGATGACAGGTGGGGTCCACGGGTCCCACCTGTCGGAGGGAGAGTGAGGGGAAAACGAGAGAGGGAGGCAAAGCAGACTTCGCGGGGAAGTGGGGAAACGGGCCGACGGCCCAAGAGGAGAGGGAGGAGACGCGCGGCCCGCGGGAGGGGAAGGAGGGGTTGGGCCGAAAATGGCCCAAGGGGGATGGAGGGAGATTTTATTTGTTTTTCTTTTGGTTTTAATTGATGCAATGATCTTTGTGCTATTAAAACTATTTCTCGAGCTCCGAAAATTCACGGAAAATTCCGGAGAGTACATTAGGGCACAAAGAATATTACAAAATATTCCCGGCCAATGATTTTTAAGGGAAAATTTTAATTCTCCCAACATTTCACTTGGATAAATTGATTTAACTTTTATTTAATTTCTAGAAAATGTATTATTAATTGATTTTTAAACCCGAACGAAAATCGGGGCGTTACAATCTTCCAGTTGGAAATACTTTTCTCAATATCCTCAAAAGATATAGATGAAGCATTCTTTACCGACATAGTGCCAACAAACTTCTCGCTACTGCACGAGGCTACAGATCGATCAGTGGCTCTTCGTGATCTAACCAACCAAGACATCTTATACGAAAGATAGGAAGATAGGTAGGTAGTTACCAGACAACGGCGGGGAATTCTCCCACAATTATGATCAACCTATTTGGATATGATGTGTTCCAGTCAACGGCAGGGAATATTTCCCACAATTAAGTTCAACCTTTGCCTTTGATAAGTGCCCAGTCAACGAATTACACCGACAAACGCCTTCTGCGGCTCAACAAGGCAACGCGACTTCAAGCAACCGATCAAAGGTTCGGGAACTCCGCGACTTCAGAACACCACCACACCGTTCGGGATCACCGCGACTTCAGCACGCTACCCGACCCCTATATATATATATGTATATATATATGTATGTATATATATATATATATATGTATATATATATATATGTATATATATATATATGTATATATATATATATATATGTATATATATATATGTATATATATGTATATATATGTATATATATATATGTATATATATGTATATATATGTATATATATATATATATATATATATATATATATATATGTATATATATATATATGTATGTATATATATATATATATATATATATATATATATATATGTATGTATGTATGTATATATATATGTATATATATATACCACTTATACTCCTTATACTTCAGACATACAATATTTCAAGAATCTGTTACTCTTCAAAAACACTATTTATTCGGCTGATTACTATTCAGTTTACTGTTTATTCGGCTGATTATTATTCAGTTTACTGTTTAAATTACTGTTCAGTACTGTTCACTTCAAGAGATATTTTAACTTTAGGATCTTTGCAGGGTGGCGAATCCTACTTAGACAGCCTCA